AAATCAAAATTTTTAAAATGACCACCATGAGGCTGCAAAAAGCCCCTATAAAATATCATTTATGTAAGGACCTGTAATTTCAAATGGACGCGGTTACATCGGCATTCGACATTTCATAACTGACTGATACCACGGATGTGCCGCACGTTCTTTTATTACTTCCGAACCGAAAGCTGATCTCAACCGAACCTTCTTGAACATCCTCCTACATTCCAGGCCTTTCTCAAAATTTCCCTTTTTAACAGTTTTCTCTTCGAACTTGTCGCTCTCGAGTGCCAGTGTGGCACGTCGTGGTCATCGTCAGTCATTTTCACTCTATTCATCCTTGCCATCTTCTCACTACGTTCACACTACGTTCATACTTGTCCATCTTCACACCACGTTTTCACACTTGCATTCTTGACATTACGCCACGTTCACACCTGCCTTCTTATATTTATAAAATTATATAAAAATTTTTTTGTATTTGAAGATTTAAGATGTATGTCAAAAAAATTACGGACTCAAAAAATGTTTTTTCATTACTTTATCAATCCCACAAAAATTGTCAAAATTTTCGACCAAGAATGTGTAAGGTCCCCTTAAATTCATAGAATATAACACTATTATGTATTTTATTTCATGAAAACTCTGATACCATAAATAAAACATGGAAAAATCATCCAGTACTTAACATATTAACAAAATTTGAATGATCTTCAAATATGGTAAATAATATAGAAAATGATATTTATTTTAATGTACGTTACCTTTAAAATCATAGAACTTTTGATTTATATACTTTTTCTCTTCTAAATGGTTTACAAGTAATTTTAAACTTTCATATTAGGTAAGTTACCCTGTATTACATCAATATATATGTACAATTTCTCTCTCTAATGTGTACACTATTATTGATATAGAAATTGAAATAGAAAATATATATGATATATATGAAATAAAAAACTATTCTAATTACTATGAAAAATATTCCATTTTCATAAATATAAAAATAAAATATTGTTTTATGTTGAATTTTAAATATATAAGATTTATATTATTTTGTAAATAAAATTATAGATTAATAATAAACTATTTTTTAATGATTTCACGAACACTTATCTACACTTCAAGGTAGAACAATCTAAAAAGCAATAACAAAAATGTTTTTATACATGTAATCATTACATATTCAATCCTTATCTATCAAAATTGTATAGAAAAAGTTTAGTACAGAATTTTTATAGAAAGATGAAATATTCAGTCTTAAGAAGAATACAAAGATAAACCTGAAATGAAACAAGTAATTAAAGTAAGAGTGAATATGCAGGGCAAATCATAAATATATGTCAATACTTCAGGAGGTAAATCTACATGCTAAAACAAGTAAAAGATGTCATATGGACATATGTCCAATATATCTTTGTGTTCGAGTTATGGAGGATTAAAGGAAATGTTCGAAGTTTCCTCTTCGTGTCTTAATACAAACTATGGTATGTCATAACATTGAATTCCGCACTTGCTCAAAAATGTCAGATATCCTTTAAATAGTTTCAAATTCATTTTGTATCCTTTCTTGCAGATTATACACATTATTCAGTTATCTTCCATACATAATGGTTTTTAAATGGTATCAAAGGTCTAATGGATTGATATCAGGAGATCGTGATGGTCATACGATGAGTCCACCTCGCCTTATCCATTGATTTGTGAAATTGTTGTCCAGGAATGTTCGCACTGGACGAAGCGAACGAAGCGAAGCACTATTATGCATAAACCACAATTTTAACCTATTCAGAGGCATATCATGCAGTACTTCCTGGAGGTCGTTCCGTAAAAATTTAAGATAAACAGTTCCATTTAGGAGAGGTGGAAATCCACACATTAACAGAAAACTGTTATTGATGCCTTGACTCCAAGCGTGCGTGCGGATTCTCTTGTGATCAGACGTATTCATTAGAATAATTCATTATCCCATTTCTAGCGAAACCTGTATCGTCAGTAAATAAAATGAAACATAGAAAGGCAGGGTTTTCAACATATTGTCCCAGTATTTGCAAAATGTTCTGCTTAAAATATAATCCGCCTGTTGGAGGCCTTGTACACGTCACAAATAATATGGATGCACAATTGCTGTGTGTACAGTATTTGCCACAAAGTAGATTGAAAAACATTATTTGCGGCGACTACTCTTCTTGTACTTGTTGAAGTTCCATCGACTTCGTCAAGAATCTCCTTTTCGGGATAAGGTATGGATCCACTTTGTATGAATCGAAGAAAACATTCTACGATGCGGAAAGGTTTCTTGATATAATCGACATGATTCCAGTTCATTTCCGTTGTCGCAGCACATGTATGAACTACATATCGGTCATTTCAGAACGATACTGAATTCCCGAGAATAAGACACTGATTATTCCAAGTTTCGTCTACATCGTATCGATGGATGTTGTTTGTAAACATTAAATACGGTTAAGAAGTTAAGGCGTTCAAAACTGTGTATTACAGTAGGAGACGGGCACTTCGAACATTTCATTTAACACTAAAACAACCAAGTACTTAAACTGATTTTTAAAAATTTCATTATAAAAACTACAAACGTGGATTTATTAAGATTTGAATTGGTTTAAATTTCAGCTTAGGTATTACTTAATCTGCTTCTTTAATAATTTCTCAAAGAGATATTCGTACCTCTTCAGTAATCGGAAAAAAAATCATCATTCGTAACTTGAAACCTGAGATATATCAGACATATGTTTATATGGCATTTTTTACTTGTTTCGGCGTGTAAATTTACCCTCAGAAGTATTGACATGTATTTATGAATCATCCCCTATAAGGAAATGACACTATTTTGATGTATCTCCATACTTAACACGTTAAGTGCCCAGCCCGATTTGCTTGCCGTTCCGTTCAGGCCCAGACGCGGCCGTCATCGCTGACGGACGAGCCGAAATATCGGCTTCGGGACCCGAGTTTTCTCAATGTTATAATAATAATTCCCGAATATTAGGTTCAAAGATGGCAAAAAATTTAACACAAAAAGTTAGCACCTTCTGCAATGAATGTAACAGCAAACCACACCTCTGTTTACCCTGTTTGAATAAACTACATTAACCTTTTTTAAACATTATATTCTTTTTTTTCAAGTCTTGACTGAACAAAAACCGATGTCGCCTAAGCAAAATATCTAGTCTCACATCAGTGCGTAAAGACCGACACGCGCAGTCGTGTAATATGAACCTAAAGTCCGCGGCCGATCCATGTGGACCGACCGGGCCTGAACGAAAGGTCTAACGCCGGTCCCTACGGAGCAGCGTGGCGTTTAACGTGTTAAAATTTCAAATTAGTATGTAAATAAATAAGTAAATAAATAAATGAATAAATAAATGAATGAATGAATTAATTAATTAATAACATGGTATATATTTTTTCTAATTTAAAACCTAAACTAAAGATGTTTAGGTTTGTTTATAATTATATTTAGTCATAAAAATGTATGTGCATAAACTATAAATAAGGAATATAAACCATAAATAAACAAATACAACATAATTTTTCTTTTCTAACATTATTCCTCAAATAGAAACAAAATTTCCACATTTCTTTGCATCTATTTTCATTCAGTAACTATTGCATATGATAATTATTAAAAGGTAATAAACGTAGCATAATATAATAGTAAAATAGTATAATATACTAATACTTTCGGTAATTCATAAATAATAATAATGTCTAAATTGTTTTAACATTATATATCTTAATTATGAACTTAATTGTTCAGATGTGCTTGGTGAAAGCATTGCATACAGAGAGTGTAACTAAATTATTGCGCACAAATGATAGGGCACGTACAACTCACTAAACCGAGTAAAAGAACCCAAGTGAACATGGGTCCAAAACTCAAATAGTTTCCGATATAAAGAAAGGTTTAATTTAAAGAAAAAATGTATGGGTACCGAATCAAGAACACCGAAGTATCTGGAAAAGTATCAGCGATACCAACAAACGTGTCAAACAAAAGTTACAGGGTATGAAATACTACATGTAATGGCGGGAGATATTTGACCGCGATGTGACCTTGAAACGTCCCGCACAAGTTACACCACAATTCCTAAATAGAACCCCACATTTTCTATTCCATATTTTTGAAGCTGACATTCAGACGTTTCCAAACCATGAACATAACATTTTTTGTGTAAGCTGTTATCAAGATAACAACATCCAAAGTTGTTGGTTCGTTGGTAGTAATGGTAGTCAACGGATAGTGCGGATAGTATAAGAACGCAATATCCAGGTTCCTTGTTTGTTACACGATGGGTTTCTAGTCTGAAAATGTGAATGACATCGTTTATCGATCGAGCCGTGGACTCATAGTTGAGAATGCAGTCATCACACTCGCTACCATCTTTTACTCTCCCATGCACTCTTATGGGAGCCTATAATAGGCGTTTCACTCGCTTCGCCGTATTTCAAGTTTGAATCATTACGGAGAATCTGTAGAAACTGACGCGTTACGGTTGCTCAACCGAGCATCCCTTTGCCTTTCTGTCCACAAATGGTAAATCAGACTCTCCGTTGGCTACCATCTCTACCGACGAACCGACAACTTTGGATGCTGATGCCTTGATAACGACTTACGCGAAAAATTTAATTTCCATGATTTAAAAACGTCCGAATGTGGGCTTCAAAAATATGGAATAGAAAGTATCAATGTCACATCACGGTCAAGTACCTCCCGCCATGACATGTAGTACTTCATACCTTCTAACCTTTATTTGACACATTTGTTCGTATCATTGGTACTTTTATTCAGTTTAGTAAGTTGTACACGCCGTATCATTTGTGCGCAATAATTTAGAAACACCCTGCACATATTACAAATATGCATATGTGTTTTTAATCTCACATAAAAGCAAAGCTACTTATTTAGCAAGCAGATTACTTATCTACAAAATTCAGTGACTACATTATTTACCTGAGCCTTCAAGTCATTCAATCTCTTTTGTGCTTCACCCTTCTGATTTTCTAATTGCTTTAATGTTGCAGCAAGTGTATCTAATTCACTCTGAAGATTCTTAATTTCACCGTTTTTAATCTTGATGTCAGCTTCTTTTTGGGCAATATCTTGTTCCATACATTGTCTTTCCCTCACAAGTTCTGCTATGTCTTTACTTATCATGTCTAATTCTGGATTTGAGTAACCAGATATATTGTTGTTTTCCTAAACATAAAAAGATGTTATATGTAAGACAGTTGAATATTTAAATTTGAAAAGCTAGTTTAAACGTACAAATAATAAAAATGCAAATATATAATATATATAAAAAATATTTATTACATTAAATTTACATTTGCATTTTCATTTGTAACAGTAATACAAAATGGTAACCTAATAAAAAATGATTGAATGATCTTAATAAATAATAATATTTAATAGTTATTAAGGTTCTCTTCATCTTTAAGATACCATGTTAATCTATAGCAATAAAGACATTATCAATGTACAATACTTATTATAAATTACTGAGATTCAGTTTTAGACTAAATTTTTCCTCTACCATCTATACCATGTAAATATTTTAATTTTGCCCTCTTTGATTCATATTATAATTCTTTAACGAATATAATATTTTTTATTTTTTTAAAGTAACTGCAAGAAAAGGTATAACAGGATAAGGGGGTCAAAAGTGCCCTCAGATCGATTTTTCTCGAGAAAGTTTCCTTCTATAACTTACCCATAGAAAACATTATATGCCGATTTTCAGCCCTTTATCTCAACCGGAACAGTAGTTAGAGAGAAAATTCGAATTATCAATCTCTGCCCAATTTTCCCTCTTTAACGGTACGTAAGAACGGTAAGAAAATTCGGAAATATTTATGGCATAGCAGTGCATGGCTGAGAATTTGTTGAGATTTTTCCGTTCAAAATTCTTAACGCGAATAATGAAAAACCACCTCAAAAATAGAAAAATGTAGATTTCGCAATGAAACATTCTGGCGACAACTTTTTAATTTTTACAGTAGTAGACATATAAACGTGACAGACATTCTCAAATTTTTCAGATGTTATGGCGTGCTGCGCTATAGTTAAACATTTTTCTACTTTTGGGGGTTTTTTTTATTGTTGATGCTAAGAATTTGGAACGGAAAAATCTCAAAAAATTCTCAGTCATGCACTACTATGCCATTAATGTCTCCGAATTTTTAATAATTCTTACGTACCATTTAACAGGGGAAATGGAACAAAAATTGATAAATTGAATTTCCCGTCTAACTACCGTTCCGATTGAGATAAAGGGCTGAAAATAAGATAAAGACCGACAAATCGGTTTGAGAAAACTTTTAAACCGCTTATTCTGCTATGCCCTTTATGATTTCTTTTGATTTTTCTGTATGAAATCGCGGGCTAGTTTTATTTGTATCGCAGATGCGTTATGAGAATTGGATAAAAACTAACTGACGGGACAGATGATAAGTAGCTAATTAAAATAATAACCAACAATACCCTAATAAAATACTGAAGAGAGATAAAACTCAATTAAACGATAATATTTTACGAAATATTTAGAACGTGAATTCTACGCTGACCGCGGTTCGAAGGTTATTAGGTATTCCCTTTATAAAATCTTAATATCTTATTTAAATTACATTCAATATTTACTAACATAGTTCTTCAATTTTCACAATA